TGCAATAAATTTATGGGGCCGTGATCTGCTACAGCAATGGAATACCCAGATTAACATTCCTGTAGTTCCAGGAACTCACAATTCTGGGACAGATATAATGAGGTATTATGGAAAAAGGTCACTAGCCATTCAGGCTGTACAAGAACACACAGCCAATAGCAAACCTTTAGAGGTACCAACAGCCCTACCTTTAAAATGGCTAACCGAGAAGCCAATATGGATCAAGCAGTGGCCTCTAGCTGAAGATAAGTTACAGGCTTTGGAACAGCTGGTACAAGAGCAGCTAGATGTTAACCATATTGAAGAATCAACCAGCCCTTGGAATTCTCCTGTGTTTGTTGTAAAAAAGAAATCTGGTAAATGGAGAATGGTGACAGATCTAAGAGCTGTCAACAAGGTAATTCAGCCTATGGGTCCGCTACAATCTGGAATTCCTTTGCCTTCTCTATTACCAAGAGGATGGCCTCTTATAGTTATTGATTTGAAAGATTGTTTTTTCACTATACCTTTGCAAAAAAAGGATAGAGAAAAATTTGCCTTCACAGTGCCTACTTATAATAATTCTCAGCCTACTAGGAGATATCAATGGACTATCCTCCCACAGGGGATGCTCAATAGTCCCACATTGTGTCAATATTTTGTTAATAAGCCACTGGAAATAATTCGTAAGCAATTTCCCAAGTCCATAATTTATCATTACATGGATGACATTTTATTATCTGATTCAAATAAAGATATTTTGGAAAGTATGTTTGAAGAGGTAAAGAAAGTCTTGCCTAGGTGGGGATTACAAATTGCCCCTGAAAAGATTCAAAGAGGAGATTCTATTAATTACCTAGGTTACAGAATAGGGTTAGAGAAAATTCCAACACAAAAGGCACAAATTAGGAGAGACCGATTACGGATTCTTAATGACTTCCAAAGATTGTTAGGAGATATTTCCAGTCTACGACCAGCTTTTGGGATAATACCTGATCTAATAGTTCATTTAAACAAAACCTTAGATGGTGATAAGGATTTGAATAGTGCCAGAAAATTGACAGTTGAAGCAGAAAAGGAACTGACAATGATTGAGGAAAAATTACAGGAGGCACATGTGGATAGGGTCAACCCGAATCTTAGTTCCATCCTAGTCATACTGCCTTCCAGAATTTCTCCTACAGGGATTTTAATGCAGAGGGAAGATATTATTTTAGAGTGGATATTTATACCTCATAAACCAAGTAAAAAATTAAAAACTTATGTAGAAAAGGTCTCGGAATCAATTATAAAAGGTAAACTGAGACTTTGTCAACTAGCAGGTATAGACCCAGCAGAAATTATAGTGCCTTTTACTACTGAGGAAATAAGAAAGTTATGGGAAGATAATGAACCATGGCAAAGAGCTTGTGCTAACTTTTTGGGAGAAATTAACAGCAACTATTCCAAAAGTGATAGACTTAACCTCATAAAGAGAACTTCTTGGATTCTTCCTCGAATTGTACGTGATGCTCCAATAACTGGAGCCCGGACATTTTATACCGATGCAAATAAATCAGGGAAAGCAGGTTATAAATTGGAAGAATTGAGTAAGGTGGAACAAAGCCCTTATAATTCTGTCCAGAAGGCAGAATTATATGCCATTCTTATGGTGCTAAGGAATTTTAAAGAACCTCTTAATATAGTTACAGATTCACAATATGCAGAAAGAGTTATCTTGCATATTGAAACTGCTGAATTCATACCAGATGACACAGAGTTGACTTCATTGTTTATCCAGGTACAGAGCATAATTAGGAATAGGCTTTGTCCAATGTACATAACACGCATCCAGTCCCATACCGGTCTAGCACAAGGTAACGCTGAAATTGACCAATTATTGATTGGAAGCGTTCTGCAGGCCTAGAATTTCATAAAAAACATCATGTCAATAGTAAAGGCTTAAAGAAAGAGTTTTCCATTACATGGCAACAAGCTAAGGACATTATAAAGAGATGTCCTACTTGTTCTTTCTATAATCAAACACCGTTGCCTGCAGGAAGTAACCCAAAGGGTACTCAAAGGAATGAAATCTGGCAGATGGATGTGTTCCACTTTATAGAATTTGGTAAATTAAAATATGTACACCACACCATAGACATGTATTCAAGTTTTCAATGGGCAACTGCCCTGAGCTCAGAAAAGGCTGATTCAGTAATCACACATTTATTGGAAGTTATGGCCATCATGGGTATACCTGCACAAATAAAGACAGACAATGGTCCAGCATATGTATCTAAGAAAATGAAACACTTCTTTGCTTATTATAATATAAAACACGTTACAGGTATACCAAATAATCCTACAGGTCAGGCAGTTATACAAAGATCAAATCGTACTATAAAGGATATGCTAAACAAACAGAAAGGGATAAAAGATACCCCCAGAAATAGATTGCATAATGCTTTATTAACCTTGATTTTTCTTAATGCTAATGAGAAAGGAACAACAGCAGCAGAGAGGCATTGGATAATGGAAAAAAACTTCTGAACTAAACCAACCTGTTTATTTCAAAGACGTGCTGACCTCTCAATGGAAGCCAGGAGATGTGTTACGTTGGGGAAGGGGTTTTGCTCTTGTTTCCACAGGAGAAGAAAAATTGTGGATACCATCAAAATTAATAAAGGTTCGATTTGAAGAGGAGAAACCTCTTGGAAAGGAGAAATGACAGCTCATCTACAATGATAATATTCATACAGTTGGTAAGAAAAACATATAGAATGGGGGCAGGGTTCTGTTCTTATCTCCACAGGAAAACACTGATCTTTGAAAAGTTCAAGGGACTCTGGGTATTTGAATACTGACAGATGGAAAATAACGGCCCAATAGGGACTATCAAGAAAACTGAATAGGTTCTGTAAGTACCATATACTAAATCATATTTCTAAATTTATAGAGCTGGTTTTAGAGTTGGACTCTGGCTCAGTCCCTCTCTAATTCCAAGCCTGTTGTTTAAAGAAAAACCCAGAGTTTCTGGAGTTTCTGTCTCATGTCAAGAGCCATGATATGGGACAGAAAGAAATATGAGTTTAGAAAACATCTTTACTTTTCTACATATCTATCATACCTTCATTAAATATATCTATCATGTCTTTCATTGAATATATGTATGTCTGTATATGTCTACATGATTAATGTTTAAGTTTTCCACAATGAACAATGAGTTTTTCCTACAGTGACATTTGAAGTTTCCAAGAAGAAGATGGGGCCCCATAACAACAACTCCACCCGGTTGATATGATGTCATGATACTGATAGCACTACTACAAGACCTGTTTTGGGTATCAGCTGCACAAGACAGTTCCAATGTGCTGAAATGGTGCACATCTTGTACAATATTCTGGCCAGACCTCCACAAAATACTCAGACTATTTGCAATTTTAAAAGACATTGATCTTGAAATTTAACCATCATTTTACCTTCACAGAATCCCCCAGAAAGAACGTCGCCCCCATGACAGCTGGAAGTAATTCTAGAGAATGACGTCCCCTCTCCCAGTAAGGTTTGTCCTTGGGTTTAGGGACATCATTTAGGGGTTGGTTATAATTAGTATACGGTTGAGGGTTGGGGGAGGAATTTTATAAGCGCAGGAATCTTTAAAAAAAAAAAAGAGGGATAATTGGATTATGGGATAATAGATTTGTACTTGTGAGTTGTTTTTAGACAAACATATTGGTATCGATTCTTATATATTGATACAAAGTTAAATTATGTTGAATATTTTATGCATGCATGTTTCTACCTCTGTTTAAAACATTTTTATGTATTGATATATGTATATTTACCATATTGCATTGTACACTTCTACCTCTGATTAAGATACTTATATATTGTTTATGTATTGATATATATATATATATTTACCATATTGCAATGTATACTTGCACATTGTTTATATTTGGAGGTCATATTGTCCTCATTTATTGCACAGTTGTTTACTATCTCAGTCTTTAAGTTAGATAGATATTGAGAATTATATAGATCAATAGTCATCTAAGTTTGTCACTTATAATTAGACTAATCAGGTTCTTTAGATACACAGACATTATATTCAGTAGAGATAGATAATCTTCAACCTCTTCAAAGAGCTGTAGAAATGGCCTTTAATCTAATTCAGAGTTCTGTGGTAGTGAGACACAATCGCTCCTGGTAACACTGATCTATTCCAGAGAGAATGCTGAGCACCAAAGACACTCCACCTGGAGCCTTTCTTCTTGGCAGAACTGGCCTTTGGGTAAAGAAATGCCCATACCTCAACTACTGACAGAGTTACAGAGTATCCATAAATGGATAAAACAGGACTGTCATATCCTGCCAAGACAGGGTAAGATAGTTTTGAAGTTTCTTGCCTTTGAAAATGATATGTCAGTTACGTTAGGCCTTAGCCAAAGTTGGTTGCTTCAACCCTACAAACGCGACTTTGGGTGTTTGCCCAGGTAGCCAGTTGTCTCTGTGATTTGTTACATGTCTGGAAGTTGTTTGATTGCACTTCCCAATTACTCAGATAAAATTATTTCCCTTCTCAGATCTTTGATGGGATTGAAGATTATATAAATGTAGTTACTTTCCTTTCATGACTTGGCCAAGTTATTTGTTATACAAGACTTAAGCTAGTTAGAATAGGATATTTGTATTTATTGTATATAATTTCGTAGATTTGTACTTATTGTACTCTCTTACTTAAACAAAAGGGGGAGATGCTATGGGAGCTCCTTCCGCTCCTTCAGCCAATCGCCGCTGAGTTACCAGCCCATTGGGGTGTGGTCTCTCTCTCTTTAAAAAAAGCAGCGGCTGTCCTCCACTCCCTTTTTGGCTTCCGGCTCCGCTTCCGGCTCCTAGACTCCTTTCCTGTTCACGCGGAGGGGCTGTTGTCTGGGACGGTAATCTGTAAGTTTTTTCCCCTTTGAATAAATAACCATTCTATTAATCATAATTCCAAACTGGTGTGGGATTGTCTGTGACTTACGCCTTTACCGACTCACCTCATTCTTCCACAGGTGGTACTGCAGCGCAAACGCAGTGAAGTCTCGTGGAACGCAGAAAAACCTGCAGTCTGAAGCGGGGCCCTGAGAAGCATTTTTCACTTGTTCAAAGTTTTTATTTATCAATTCCAGAATCCAAGGGTCGATAAGGAACACTGGCACATTTTGGCTGGATGTCAGCATAACAAATTTCTTGACTGCACGCTGTTGAGAGAAAAGAATCTCTTTGGTACCACTAAGTCAACATCATTTCCCCCCAGTACTGGGGACTGAGTCCAGGACCTCACCCATGTTAGGACTGGGCTCTGTTACTGAGCTCTAACCCCAGTCCTCCTGTAGTTTTCATTTTGAGAGGATCTCATAAGTCACCCAGGCTGGCCTTGGACTCACTATGAAGCCCAGGCAGGCTTTGACCTTGGATTCCTCCTGCCTAAGATTCCCTATAGGTGTGATTAAAAGACTTGGGCCACTAGGCCTACCACATTACAACTTATTGTTGTTAAATTTTTTGATCAATTAATTTTCTAAGAATTTACAGAGTGTCCACCCAATAGACAGCATGCTTATCACTGCACTAGGAATAAGCAAATGAATATCACACGGTTCTGTCCTCTAGAGGAGCACAGTCTACTAAGGAATTAGACAAGTCGCTATAGTTCATATATATATAGGTGAAATATGCTCCACAAAATGCAAATGACCCAGTGTGAAAGCAGGAAGCCAGGAATGGCCAGACACGTGGATGAATGCTTGGGACTTCAGCACTCCAGAGGTAGAGAACCGAGACAACACAATGGTGTGGGAGAATTGTCTGTATTCTGTCAATCATATTTTAATAAAACGCTGATTGGCCAGGCAGGCAGTATAGGCGGGAAAGCCAGACAAGAAGTAGGGGTGGAGCAAAGAGACTGGGAGTATTCTGGGAAGCAGGAAGCTCCTCCGCAGTTCTGCCCAGACCACGGGAGAGGAAAGATGTAGGCTGCCCCATTGGAAAAGGTACTGAGCCATGTGCTAACGTAGATAAGGATAATGGGGTAACATAAGTTATAAGAGTTAACAAGAAGCCTGACCTAATGGGCCAATCAGTTTATAACCTTATGGAGTCCTGTGTGTGATTTCTCTTTGGGATTTGCCAGCTTTGGGGTACCGGGCAGGACAGAAACCCCAACAAGCCAGCCCTCATGTTACAACACAAGGTTTGAGGCAAGCCAGGGTATGCACAGAAAGTTCCAGGCCAACCAGGGCTACACCAGTGAGAGCCTGTTCTCAAAATAACAGCATAAGCAAAACAAAACCAAGGAGCAAAAAAGTCTAAGCATTCATAAGGACTATCTGCTCATTTTCCACAACACAGGCTATCATGTAACATGACTGCAACTCTTTTATTAGTAAACCAGCACTATCTTCAAATTTTTAAAACTGCTGTTGACACAGGTTCTCAAGAAGGCAGGCTGACCTTGAGCTGAGGATGACCTGAGCTTCTGGTTCCCCGATACCTACCATACTCAGTTTACACAGAGCCAGAGATTGAACCTAGGGCCTCCTATATGCTAGGCAAACACTCTACCAACTGAGCCACATCTCAGCTCTGCCTTCTCAGCTCTGTTTTCATTTTTAGTTAGGTAGAAAAAAATAAAATGTATTTTTAAAATATAGAGGTTCTGAAACTTTACAAAACAAAAATATAATGAATATATTATATTATCTGTTCCTCTCATCTTACAAAGGAAGCACTAAAGTTTTTATTGCTGACTTTTAATTTCCCTCTATATTCTTAGTTCAATTCTGATTCATATATTCCTGCATTCAGGAGAGCATTATAGTTCAGCAGTCAAGAATTCTAGAGATGGAAAGCTAAAATCTAAATTCATATATTTACTAACCAACCACCTTAATCTCTCTGACGACCTAAATTGAGAACACACATACTGACACTTGTAAGGTTTCCATAAGGACAAAAGGAGATGTGCCATGTAAAGCACTGGCATAAGGTCTACTCATGGCCAAGGTTGCTATTGTCCTTGCCATCAATCAACAAATACTTGAGGAATATATCGATGAATGAACTAAAGACAACACACAGACATTGTAACTGAGATATAAGTACATACCCACTGTGTGCTATCAAATCCAATTCTGTTTCCCTTGGATTTTGATGAACCATTCTAGAAGACAGCAAAAGAATATTTTGGTAAACTCACAGCCCAGCACTCACTATCCAAATGCTCATTTCATACTCAGAAGCAAAAAAAAATCATACATTTTATAATACAACAATCCAAGATATAAAACATTGACAGAATATAGTAAGTTACTGATATTATTCAATGGTATGCCCAGCATTTCTGCATATTACTATTATTATTATTATTATCATTATTATGTATACAATGTATTGTCTGCCCAACAGAAGAGGGCACCATATCTCATTACAGATGGCTGTGAGTGCTGGGAATTGAACTCAGGACCTCTGGAAGAGCAATCAGGCTCTTAACTTCGGAGCATCTCTTCAGCACCTGGTTAGCATTCCTGAGCCAATCAATGCCCATCAAGAAATAGCATCTGCACTCACACTCCTATGCCTGTCTGTCATCCCCCTCCCCCTGCCACTGTGGAACAATGGTCTTGTACTTTGTAAAGATTTATCACTTGTATTATTTTAATAAAACACTGATTGGCCAGTAGCCAGGCAGGAAGTATAGGCAGAGTAACAAGAATAGGAGAATTCTGGGAAGAGGCAAGCCTAAGTCTGCAGTCATCACCCAGGCCAAGAAGAAGCAAGATGAGAATGCCTCACTGATAAAAGGTACCAAGACACACGCTAACACAGACAAGAATTATGGGTTAATGTAAGTTATAAGAGTTAATAAGAAGCCTGAGCTAATAGGCCAAGCAGTTTGTAATTAATGTAGACCTCTGTGTGTTTCTATGGGACTGAACGGCTGAAGAACAAGGTGGGACAGAAACCTCTGGCAACTCGCCTCCTCGCCCCTCCTCCTCCATTCCTCTTTGTTCTGCCCCAGTCTCCAAAGTCCTGATACTATAGCATGAACCAGCTGGCTCTCTGCTATCTCTCTGAAATTAGGGTTTGTCCATGTAACTCCATATTCCTAACTTTATCTCCATATACTCAATTAGTGAGATGGAAAGTGAATTTTAAAAAAGTATAATAAGCCTGGCCATGGTGGCACTTGCCTTTAATCCCAGTACTTGGGGGACAGAAGTAGGCAGATCTCTTGTGAGTTTAAGGCCAGCCTAGTCTACAAGAAATAGTTCCAGGATAGGCTCTAAAGCTACAGAGAAACCCTCTCTCAAAAAACCAAAACAAAAAAAAAGTATAATAATGAGCAGATAACAAGTGTCTGCTTGATAGCTCCAAATGAAATAACACCCCCCCCCATACACTTACAGAACAACACTGTAAAGCAAAGTAATTATTTCTGGTTGAGAGATGGCCCCAACACTCACACTTTTCATAAATTATTTCAAATTATGAAATTATTTCAAATGTTTTAATTACGTGTAAGTTAACAGTGCTTTTTAAATGTTCAGGTTTTGAAATGTCAGAAGGAAGAAAGCAATATTGTCATATTGTTCATATGATAAGCCCCCGATAAGTCGGAAACTAAATAAGAGAAAGAATGCTGGACGGTCTAGAGATAAGAAGCTTTCAAGCTCAAAGAACTCTGACAACTCCGTATGCTTCTAATGTTTTCTAACTATGAGATATAAATAATAGAGGATGCTGACACACAATTAGAATCGCCTCATCCTACAAACACAATGCGCTCGACATTCCTACCAAGGAGGCTTGTCCTCTTATTAAACTGCACTCAAGGGCAGGGGCCAAGGCCAAGCTGCCTTTGTATTACCATGTCTGGCCTAGTGCTTGGTTAAATAGATGCTAGTAAGAATTTGTTAATAGGAGGAGAAAAGAAAGTAAGAAGAGTAATGAAGGTAGAGCCAGACTCAGACTCTTAACAGATCTCTAACAGACAATAGCAATTTAATACAAATGGGCATTTGAGAGAAACAGACAACAAAAAATAAAAACAGAGGTAACTTTGTGATCCTCAGTCCTGACAAGTGATGGAAACTAGACAGCCATTTGTTTTTCACTCCAGCCCTATACTAGGAGAGGAACCGGCAATTTTATTATTATTTATTATTACTGTTGTTATTATTATTATTATTTGGTTTTTCGAGACAGGGTTTCTCTGCAGCTTTGGAGCCTGCATTTTAAGCTGCTGAATTGGTTGAATTTGGAATAAAAAAATTTCTAGTGAGCTAGTAGATTTTTTTATAGTAGTTTTAATGGCATTAAGATAAAATATTATAAATTCTACCCTTTTAGAGTGTATAGTTAACTGTGTTGGAACAGTCTAAAATTGGAGTCATTCAAGGGGAATTCTGAATGTTTCTGAGTAAACTCCAAGAAAGCAAGAGTCTTATGACCTTGTTTTTTCAAAACACAGAATTATTCTTGGCATGTGCTCTCATGAACTTCCCAGGTGCAGCAGAGAGGAGTGCATTTGCTCCGGAAGTTGTTCTCATGTACCTAGATGGAAAAATACGCTTTTGCCACGCATGGCTTGTCCCTGTAATCGTACTCTTTGCTCAGGTGATTGCATAAATACTCCGGGTATAAACTGTCTGATGCTCTGAATAAAGGTGGCTACTGAATGAGACTTTAGTCCACCTCATTGTCAGCCCTGCTCTCCCAGGCTCAGCCTCTAACTAAAGCAGTAAACATACAGTTACAGTGTTACTATCACCTCCACCTAGAACACTCCACCATGTCAAAACTACACCCCCAATCTCCTCCCTCTGTGCCATCATTATGAGCAACTGTCACAAGCACCGTGTTTCGTCAGGCATGCCCTCCTACACGCTCACAACTTGCCTCTATTTTACTTGCTTTGCCAAAACCAAAACCAAACAAACAAATCCCACAGAACAAAACAAAACCCACAAACAGTTCACGTTCACAGCTGGGCACGGAGGAACATACTTATAGTCCTAGCATTAGGGAGGCTGAGGCCAGAAGATCATTAGTGGGATCTAGGCTAACCTGGATCACACAGTGAGACTCTTCATCTGAAAACAAAGCACAACAATCAAGAGGAACCCAACTCCTCACTTGTCTGCAAAAGCAGGTACACAGCTAACTGCAACTGCTCACCGGTGTCCCAGCCGCCTCTCAATGAATGCTGGGTAGGGACTTCATTCTGCTGAGCAATGCTACATTCATTCCCTTGACCATTAATCCTCTCACTCTTAGGTGACTTTTACTGCTCCTTTCTCTTTTTAACACATTTTCTGTATCCCATCTGTCAACATATGGCATTGCTTTCTCCTTCCTGAGAAAATAAAAGGAATCAGAGAACTTTCAAGCCTTCCAAATTATTTTACTACCTAGTGAAATGACATTCATACAGTCTGACATCCTTCTTCTCCTAAGAGACGAACTGCTACATTCCTTTTACAGCCTCTTCTCTACTTTCTAAATCGCATGCCCTTTGCTTGGCCAAAGACACCACTCTGTTGAACCATTCCTATTAGAATACAAACAAAAAAATTAGTTTTTCCATTAAAAATAATTAAAACAAGAAACAAAAACCTCTTGACAGCTCTTTTCCCCCAACAATTTCTTCTCCTTTATGCAAAACTCCCAATGTTGGTCTCATTGACTTTAATTTTTTTCCTATCAATCACTTGAGCTCAAACCCACTCTGCCAAACACTCACAGCTACCACTGACCTCCACAATGCTAACTCCATTGGTTGTTAGCTCTCATCTCATTTCATCACAAGACTTAGTAATGTCTGCCTCACTGCAAGGCTTCATTTCCTAGACTCTCGGGAGTCTATACTTCGGTCTCTTGCCATGTCTCTCTGGCTATTCCTTCTCAGCCTCACTAGTGAAGGCTGAAATGAGCTTAAGGGGCCAAAGCAGATCTCAAGATACACTTATATGGTATCTCATTGAGTCTTGTAGCCTTTTCTTTTTTGTTTTGTTTTGTTTTGTTTTTGTTTTTGGTGTTTTAAGACAAAGTTTCTCTATGTAGTTCTGGCTGTTCTGGAACTCAGAGATCTACCTGCCTCTGCCTCCTGAGTGCTGAGATTAAAGGTGCGAGCCACTACTGCCTGGCAAAAGTTTTGGCTTTTTATTAAAATTTACTTATTATATGTTTATGAGTGTTTTACCCATACAAATGTGTCACATGTGTGAAGTGCCTGCAGAAGCCAGAAGAGAGCACTACATTTCCTGGAACTGGAGTTACATGGGTGCTGGGAACCAAACCTGGGTCCTCTTGAAGAACAGCAAATGCTCTTAACTGTTAAGCTATGTCTCCAGCCCATAGCTTTCTCTCTTTTTGAATATTTATTTACTTATTTTAGAGAGGACGCATGTACCATGCTGTGCATTTGGAGGTCTGAGGTCAACTTTTAGGAGTTTGTTCCTTCCTTCCACCATATGGATTCAGAGGGTCAAACTGCTTCCCTGAGTTTTATGACTTGATATACCATCCATGTGCTAGTAACTCCAAACCATAGCACTCCGTTAACTGTACACTTATCTATCCAGTCGTCTGTTCTTGGGTATCAAATAGGCACCTTAAGCTGGCGTGTGTATCAAATAGGCTACTTCTGCTCATCCTGTTTCAGATTTGCTGTTTCCAGTTCTTTTCATTGCAATAAACTGCAATTTCACCCTTCTATTGCCTAAGTCAAAACACGGTACCTTTCAACTCTTCTGCCTTTCAGGCCCTGCATCCAATGATTAACAAACCCTTATAGCTCTGCTTTCCATTTCTTACTCACTCCCTTGTCTACGCCACGGCCACCTCTTGTGTAAATTACAATAACCCTTTAGCCAGTTTTTTCTTCCAGTCTGTGCTTCTATAATCTATTGGTGCGGGAGAATTGTCTGTATTCTGTCAATCATATTTTAATAAAACGCTGATTGGTCAGGCAGGCAGTATAGGCGGGAAAGCCAGACAGGACGTAGGGGTGGAGCAAAGAGACTGGGAGTATTCTGGGACACAGGAAGCCCTCAGCCACTCCTGCGCAGACCACTGAAGAGGCAGCATGTAACTTGCCCAGCTGAGAAAGGTACGGAGCCATTATGGCTAACATAGATGAGAATAATGGGTTAATATAAGTTATAAGAGTTAACAAGAAGCCTGACCTAATGGGCCAATCAGTTTATAACCTTATGGTGTCCAGTCTGTGATTTTCTTTGGGGTTTGCCAGCTGTTGGGGTACTTGGAGGGATGGAAACCCCAACAAGCCGGCCCTTCATGTTACAATCTATTCTTAAAAGAGCAGATAGATTAGTCACAATTATGCCATGTTAGCAGCTCAAAACCTTCCTATGGTTCACAATCTTACCTACTAAGAGCTGAAGTTCTTATAATGGTCTAGAAGGCTCTCACCAGCACAGAACTGTTTGGTCTTACCTACTCCTCTCTCACTCTTCTCCAGACACATCAATATCCAAATTATTCCAGAAACTTTCTGCATCAAGGTTTTTGTACTGTATTTCCTTTGGTTTCTACACAGGACTCTCCTCCTATAGACATGGACATAATTCACTCTGCTGGAACAAACTTTCATTTATAATGACCTTCTATACTATTCATGTTCATCAGGAAAATTCCTATTCAGCCTGTAAGACCAACTTAAAATATTATGCCTCCATAAAATATCCAGCAATCCAGGACCCCCAAGTATGTTATTCTCCATATCTTTTATCCCCAAAAACTTAGCTTGAAGAGTCAAGGATAAGAACACTGGGGGGTCTAGCTTTTTAAGGCTTAAAGATCACACCATTTTAATGGTGTCTCATAAGAAAAGGGATGCAAAGGCACAGTTTGCAAATGTCACAAACACATGCAGTCTTGTAAATATCCTCATGGACCTATAAAGCAAAGGGTCCTAGAGTTTAAATTTCATTATCTGAATAGTTACTCTACCTATGGGAACAGCTGCTGATACCCAGTGGCTACAGTTGAAAACGAATAAGAACACAGCCACTGCCAGCCAATAACTGGAGAAATAGAGAATCAAGAAAATGAATAACCTGACCTCTTTTTCTTCCTAGTCTCCAATCTCCAGCTGATGCTTCCCATTGGTTGAACCCAACTGGAACCCAAAAGGCAAGGGAGCTCAGCTAATGCAGTCCAGAGGTCAGCCTCCCAAGGCATAGAGTATGGTGAAGAGAGATCTGGAGAGGCAAACAGAGAAGATCCTGCATACTATGCTACGTTGTTTAGGTTTGATCCTATAGGCATGCTATCAAATAATTTGATCAGAACTCTAATTACAAAAAAATTATGTGTACAGTACATAAGGATTACAGAATCTAAACAGGAGGGGAAATTCTTAAGTAGTGAAGCATTCAGATTGAAGTCTGAAAAATTAAATATTAAATTATTTATCTATTTCCTTATATGTTTCTTAATCTTTAATTCCAAAGCTCCTCATATTGTGAGATACTAGAAAGTCAGGACTGAACTTCATTGATCCTTCTGTTCTATACCCTATTACTATGCTTTGCTTAAAAAATTTTCAACAAAATAAGTCAAGGGGTTAAAAAAAAACCCAAAGATATTTCAAACTATTTCCTATTAGATAGTTGTACTGAAAACTTGAGAGGCATAAATATATGGACAGGCAGAATCAGATCCTAAAAAGGACTGGTAGAAAAATAATCAGTGGCTATTGAACTCCACTGACTCAATTATATGTCAGTAAAGAACAGGCATTCCAAAAATAGGATGCCAAGATTTAAAGAAAAACCTTATTATTTCTCAAGCATAGTATTCAATAATCAAGTTCTTACAGGAACCCAAAATCCAAATTCTTAATTTGTATGACTATTTAACATGGCAATAGAGTCAAATGGTCAATTCTTTGTTTTAAAAAAAAAAAGTGTAAGGTCGTCAATATCAGCTTTTTCTCCAGTTGTTTAAGAACCTGTGCACCTAAGGCAGAGACCTCACTGTGGTGAGTCCCCAACTGAGTGCCGCACTCTCCTGCATCTTGGGCTGTCACTCCTCAGTTCTCCATGGACTGCACTCCTCGGGGTTAAAAGTCAGCAAGGGGAAGAAAGCTATGTGTATTAATAACTCATCTGGTTTGAAAACCTATAGTCTATAGCCTGGGAATATAGGAAAGAATGAAAAAGCATCCTTTAACTGTAATAAAAGAAATTCACTTTTTTTTCTGAATAACGGAAAAATGGAGGGGTGAGAGAATAAGGGGGGAATGATATTTATCAAAATTTGCCATATTACACCAGACTGTCAAAAAACACTTTCCCTCCAGGAATAACTACATGTTTTCCTTCAGAGTAAAACAAAGCAAGCCAAAAGTCAAAGACCAAGTGAAAATCTTTACATAATTTTACCAAGCGACCAACTTAAAACCATTCCAAAAGCCTTTGCTGCGTATGTTCTACATGGCTAAGGTTAATTCCCATCTTAATGACAGCAGGGAAATTATTCACTGAGAATAACTGCCACCATTCTTCTTTGCTATCTCCCCCTTTAACAGAAAACAAATTACTGAAAGTACAAGAAGCTAGCGTGGAATAGGAGCCTGTGCGTGGCCTTCTAGATAATGAGAACAGTCAATTGCTGAAGGCACTGGTGTGGCTCATCTGAATAGAAAGCACCATGGAAAGCTTGCTCCAGTGACTGTTCTGTCTTTTACTTAGCTATCAACCCCACTGTCTTCAATGTCCTGCAGCATTCTGAAAGCCAATTCATCTCATGCCTGCCAATTTGAACACAGTCTATTTAGACAGAGTTACTTCTACATCAGAGACGCTCAAGTAAAGACACAAGTTTTAGGTCCTGAACATGTTAATCATGAGCAGGAAACACTCAGTCTAGTTCCCAGTTAAACAGTGAGAGACAGACACACAAGGACTCTACAGTAACTTACTTCGACTTTATTTTTATTTATTTGTTTATTTGTCTATTAAGAGGTGGGAGGTGTGCCATGTCACATGTGTGGAGGTCAGAGGACAACTTTCAGGAGTCGTTTCTCTCTTTCTACGATGTTCCAGGAATTGAACTCAGATTGTCCAGCTTGCAGGCAAGTGACCTCACCACTGAGCCATCTCTCGAACCTCTCAACTTTATTTTTAAAGTGCTAATGTAAACCTTCAGTAGGAAACATAAGCTACTAGAAGCTACCATCTTTGAGCACAGACATGAAGAAGAAATTGAGATGTAGTTGATGCATCACATCATCTAGACTACTGAGCCTCAGATGGCAGTGCTGCTAAGAATTCCAGTCAAAGAAATCAAAGCTCTAAGAAGTGACGTGCTGAAAGCCAGATGACTGAACTAATGCTTGAACACTAAAGCCATTCTCAAGGATTACTACTACTGCCGGGCGGTGGTGGCACATGACCTTAATCCCAGCACTCAGCAGGCACAGGGAGGTAGAGCTCTGTGAGTTTGAGGCCAGCTCTGATGTACAGAGCTAGTGCCAGGAAAGCCAAAAGCCAGGGCTACACAGAGAAGCCTCTCTCTCTCTCTCTCTCTCTCTCTCTCTCTCTCTCTCTCTCTCTCTCTCTCTCTCTCTCTCTCTCTCACACACACACACACACACACATCACTATTACTGCTACAACTACCAAATTGAGAGTAAGACCTTTGCCCTGCTAATATACCGTATCTTAACAAGTAATCATAAACACAACTTAGACAAACACACTTAATTAAAACCACATTAACCTGTTAGGTATTAACGAGAAGAAAATAATCCCTAGAGACATGACATATCCTTTGTGGTATGAACTGTAAGCAAATTATGAATGGATCCCAACTTGCACTAGGTGGACTCACAAAGTTCTGAGTTTACAATGATGTGAAAGTATTATATCTTGAATAGGAATGATTCATTAGGTTTAAATTTTTATCTTTTTCTGAGCAAGCGACAGGCTATCCAACACTCATGGTGCTGTGGAGCTCCCAGCACATGATGATGAAGGTACCCATACTTCATAGTCAAGTAGTCAAGTACTATGTCAAGTAGGCAAGGCATATTATATTTTACTTACAATATTTTTATCCTATAATGAGTTTATCAGGATGGAACCTTACTGTAAGTTGAAGAATAGCTGTACTTGAAAATTAGAGTTCATAGATGCTCACAAAGCTATCATTCTACTGGAGTTTGTATGAGGGGATCACACTGTGGTATCTGCTACCCTGCTGATTGTCAGGGCTAATTTGGCTGGCCAGGCAGGCATTCCCTTCTTCTCTCACTGCTCCAAGGTTTTCCCTCTTGAAGCTGAGCACTCAATCAGTCAAAGAGAACTGTTCTTCAATCAAAGGTATATGAGGAGCTGAGCGCCCTGACAGAACATCCAAACAAATCAAGTTTGCATTTTGAAAGCCTGAATGACTGTCCTGAATCTGAAAAGCCAGGCATATCCCTTTATGAAATACAGTATATTTGTTCCTTATCTTTAATTATTAGAAAATTAGATTGATTTCATTTGTAAATCACAGAAAACATAAACTCATCTAATTAAGTGGCTAGGGCTAGAGGACATCTACAGTAAAGTCATAAAGCTCCAACACAAGCAGAAGTAGGCCTTCTTTACTCTAAGACAGTGGTCAACTTAGTCATCTCTGCTGAGGGCCTGGAAAGCTGTGTGGTCATCCCAGCATGGTGCTACAGGCACTTACTACTCCTGGACTCCTAATCAGCATCTCTACACCTTCAGTCCCATAAACAGCAACAAAGGTAAGCTTTACTACAACTCTTCTGTAGATTCTGAATCAAAATTCACACTATAAGATACAATAATTTTGCTATGTTATTAGAATTACCTATCATTTATGTGAAATAATAATTTTTATTTATCAGAAAATGTGAATAGATTAAATATTATTTAAACATTACTTCTGATTTAATTGCATAATTATAAAAACATTTAATTATAATTTTGAACTGTCTGCTACAGCCTACAAAGTTAAGAACCCCTGTGAGAAATGTTTCCATAGAAGTTAAACATTATTAATTGGGTGTACTGCAATTTACATGTTAAGAAAGCACGCAGCCACAATGACATCTAATAAGAAAACCACGGAATTACCTTGGCTGACAGATAGTGCTTGTAGTAGTACAGCTGAAACAGCAGAAACGCAGAACTTGTCAGTGTTAGGAGGGCCAAGACCACGTTCTTATTGATTCTACTCATTGGTCTGTGGTCTTCTCGCAGATATCTTTAACCGTAACCCAGATGTTATCATCTTCTTCATGAAACAGGAAGAGAATCTTGTTTTTGTGAGCAAAGAGGTATTTCTGAAAAGGATAAAAAAAAAAGGTCAATTTGGCAAAAAAAGAAAAAAAATTAAAATTAGCTTCAATAATCATTGATAGCACACACACACACACAAGTTATTTAGCCAAGCATGGCAGTACATGGCTATAATTTGGTATGCTGAGGCAGGGGAATAACAAGTACAAGATCAGCCTGGGTTAAACGGTGAGGTCTGGACCAGCTTGAGCAACTTAGAAAGACCCTTTCTCAAACAGACAAATAAACATTAAAAGCAAAACTGGGAAAGAAAAGGGTTAAGAAAAAGCTACAGAACACTTAGACCAAGAGGAATGCAGGGGAGGGGCTTCTACAATGTTTCTGAGTCAACAGACCTGGCCTGGGACCTTTGCATCCCAGAATGCATGTCAGACAAGACTCTGACTGTAATGAGAACTACTTCCACAGTGGAAACGTGAGAAAGAAATTTTTAGTCAAGAAGCACAGTATCTAGCTGTTTGTTTTGTGAGGGTGTGTGCACGTGCATATATAAATAAATGACCTTGGTATTTGCAAGGGTAGAGAACACCTTAGTAAACATTTTGGTCTTTCATCCAGGGTATCACCTCCAATTATTTCATCAGAATAAGAAATTTAGTATGTACTTCCTAACTCCTCTCCAATACATGATCTTGATTAAATATTTTTAAATGTCCTCTAGTGTTTAGCTTTATGTCTTCAAGAATACTAATACCTCTTTGACTTAATAACCTAAGTTTTCTGTCTTAGCTTTTCTGCTTGTAATGAGAAACTGGCCAACTATGCCACCTCCTGTCTTCTTTCCGCTCCCTACTTATTTCTACTTGGTTATTTTATTCTGTCTGATAACTATGTTCTTTACTCTATCTGCACAGTGTTCCACAATGACCCTATATACTCACTGCCCACTCAGAAGGTAATGGTGCTGCTTACTTTCAGGTTTGCACTGTTTGAACACAGGTGTCGGGAGAGTTTGGCTGTGAGGTCACACTTTACTTCCCCTGATAAGTTACTGGGTTTATAGCTCTACCCTGCAATTTTAAACTTTCTCTTGGTTAACATTCAATTCCACAGCAGCAGCTACAGGGAATCTGATCTGTTTTAATGGATCACCATGGACGCACACATATTCCCTACCTTGTTGACCTAGACCATATAGTGATAGTGATTACTATATATTCATTTTTCTTTGGTCTTTGTGTGTTCTTTCAACTTATAGAGCAAAGATTTCTTTGTGGAAAACTTTTGAAGTCATTTGAATACTTTTGTTGCAACACTGGAGTCTCTACTTCCAGAACTACGGTAATGTATCTCCTTTCACTCCCATTTCAGTTGGCTTGACTTCCAAGGTCTCATCAAGCCACCTCACTGAAGCTTCACCGTTGACTTTCCATTCCAACATGGCTGTAACTTTGCCTTGTGTGCCTTTTCTTCCTGAGCTCTGCCAGACTGCCCTCTTATAATTAACTCCTAGCTCTTGAGCCAATGAACACTGCCTTTATTTTTTGCAGGGTTGCGAACTGAACCCAAGGCTTCTATCCGGAACTGGCAAGCATATGACCACAGAGGTACAGCCAACAGTGTCATTTTAAAGATTTTTAAAAATGACTTTTAATTTTAAGTACATGCATGGGTATATTCCCATGTGTGCAGGTGCTCACCAAGAACAGAGGTGCCCAATCCCCCGGAGCTGGAGTTACAGGTGGTTACTGAGTCACGTGACACAGGTACTAGGAAGCAAACTCAGATCCCTTGGAAAAGCAGTATATATCTTAACAACTGAGTCCTCTGTCTGTCATTTCTAAAGTGTAACTGGTTCATCAATTTCCCCTCTTAGACCTGCACAACTTCATCAAGGGCTGTCACTTGTTTTCTAGTTTATTCTCGTCTTGCTGTGGCATGTTTGATGTGCCAGGCTCATTTCCTTTGCATTACTAACCTTTGAATGGCCTGAGCCCGCAAGACCAGTTATTCATAGGAATCCTGGGGCAGGAGGGCACACCATTATATTCTAGACTAGATGAATTCTTTCTGTCAGAAGAGTTTATACATGTGTATATGTAAGAAAAATGGAGAATACAAGTTAGACTTTTAAAAAGACATTAAAACATTACTCTTTCATGATGTCAGAAACGGGTACCAGAAGTCTATGGCAATCTCTCCCTCCGTTTTGCTGCTATAAGGATAGTGCATTTGTGTATAGCCTATTTGCTTCTCTTCTTGCTAGTTCATACCGCCAAACATCTATGGAAGCTCCCACACCTGACCTGTAAACAAAAGAGGCATATCTCTGTTCTGCCAGTTCTGAGACCTCTTTTTACAAGGATCTTCCTTTCACATGTGGTAATCACTCTTCAAAATTTCAGTTTGGCGCTATAGCAATGTTTGTGTTGGGGAAGCTGCATTGTGTTGTTTCAAGGTAATTTCAGACTAGTACAAATATTTTTACTTAGCCGTTTTAAACTCCTACGTTTTGTTGTGGAGCTTTAGAACAATCTAAATGAACTGACAGAGCTGAAGCCACATAAAACAAGCACTGTAAGAAATCACAGACGATTGATTATTCCAGAGAAGTACAACAGAGAAGAGAATTACCCACCCCGTCTGCAGATAATGTATCAAGGTAATGGGATGAATCATGATTTTTCTCTATTGAACTGTGAAAATTGGTAACATCTATCTACACAGATGGTGGTCTGCTGTCAGCCAAAACTTGTTACAATGGTTTCATCAGAGTAGACCATGGAAAAAAAGATTATTTCTCACTCTCCAGATTTAGTTATTCCTCATACATGTATTAAATAGCACACCAGTGTAATGCACACTGCTTCCTGGTGAAATTTAAGCTGGCATTCAGATTGTACCATTGTTAAGCCCCTCTAAGCTCAACTATTCTAAACCACAAATTAGTATACTGTTGTTTGAGGGATCTATCTTTACTTTACAACAAAATTAATTCATTAATAATATAGCAACCACTTAAAATAAGCAATGGGACAGTCGGAGGTATCTCAGGGCAATATCACAAGCCCTGTTTCTTCAATGGCACAGGTCCTAAATCAATATTGGTGTTTATAGTTCTTACTTGTGACATTTTAGCCATCACTGTAAAAACAGTAAGGATAATGCATTTCTTACTTCACAGATATAAAGAGGATATTGTATCATGTGTAATGGAAAATATTACAGAGCTGGTAAAATGAGCAGAAAAAAATGAGAAAAGAGATGGCGAATATCTGCAGAAAAAATAAAATGGTGACAGTCACAGAGGAGGTTAAGCAGGCCAAGTACACTGAAGTTCTAAGAAAATGAAACTGAAGATGCATTCAGAAGTTACAAAAACAGAAACAAAAACCGAAAAATCAAAACACCGAACATTTTTAAACTGTAAGAGATCAAGACGTCTAGCTGTATTGCCAATGCTACTCTTTGTCCTCTACAACCTGGCAGTAAGACCCTACTGCTGAAGACACCGTATATTTATGACACTGAACACAGAGAAATCGAGCTGATGCTCAACCAGAAGCTTCGGCCCAGGGGACCAGGGCTCATAGTGCTGGAAGGTATGCCACACACTAGCGGAGGAGATCATCAGTCCCACCCAACTGTGAACTCTGCAGCTATCATAGCAACCTGTCTGCAAGATAAACCCACTAACTGTGCAATGGTGGCACAGAGAGGAGTAGCCAGCCACCCTTTACCTGGATTTAAGGCCAGCACTATGAGACAGAATCTATCTATCAGATATCTATGGGGTCCTAGGCCCCAAGGAAAACCCTATAATTTTTGTGTCAAAAGAACAGAAATCAAATGATTCCTTACTAGATATCGTTACAGTCATAGAGCATTGCATTGCTGAAAAGAGATCAGAAAAGAGATTTCTTGCAGTAGATAATAATTAATATGGACACCCACAACTGGACAGCATTCAGAGTGAGAGATTTTGGAGCACTCAGTCCTAAAAGGAAAAGCCCATTAAAGTCCTCCCCTCAAGGCTCAGGGACACATGTAGAAGAGAAAGTAAAAACACTGTAAAAAGCTAGAGGTGATGACTAACTCCAGGAAACAGCGCTTTCCAGATACATCAGAGCTGATGCCCATTTAAGCTCACAGCGACCGTGACAGCATGCACAGACCTGTCCTGGTTCACGCCAGACAAAATCCCAGTGCAGAAAAGACAAAGTCCCAACTCTAACCAAGAAGCTATGTGCAACCAATAACTTCCGGGAAATTTTCTTCAGTGGAATGACAGAGTACATCAAACACACCCCAGGACAAGCCATGTGATCACGAGCAGCTGGTCAACACAAAATGGACCCCATGTTGAGTGGGTATCTGGGAGCAGGTGTGTGCAGAGGAATATGACTAAAATATATTGAGTGAATTTTTTTTTGTATTAAAAAAGGAAATCTAGTAGAGCCTCATGGCACAGGCCTATAACACCAGCTACTCTGGAGGCTGGGCAGGATAATGGTTCAGTTCAAGGACTGTCTGTGCTACAGACCTGGCCAGCCTGGGAAACTTAGTGAGACTACCTTAAAATAAAAACTGAACACAGAGCTGGGAATGTATTGCTCATCAGTAGAGTGCTTGCAAATCCAAGGCCCTGAAATAATAGGCGGAAATAATACTAGGGCTGAAATAATAATAATTATGATGACAATCAAAACGAATCTATGCCTAGTTACTATTCATTCACTTCTTAATCCTTTGCAGAAGAACGTCTGCCTCGCCACACTGCCACTGAGAAGGTGAAAAGGTAAATAAGGCAGTCTTTCCATGCGATTACCCAGGAAGAAGCGCAAACACAGCGGCTCCTTTCTGAACATGCTATCAGGGAAGCTCTGAAGGGGTGATGGAAATAAAGGACCCAGGGAACAGAGGGGCATGAAAAGTAAGATAGGTGAGGCT